TCCTATATATATATATATATATATATATATGAGGAACCGAACCTAACCCTTATAAGGAGGTTTGATTTCAGGGTTTACTCCAACTTCCACCGTAGGACTTAATGGAATCGACTCCACGACTACATTTGCTTTAAATCAAAACAAGGTCAAAAATAAAAATACAGGATTTTAGTTGTTATTAAACACTAAATGTATTACTTTTTTCCCCGAAATGTATAAAGTACTAGAAACCCGGACTTGAGTAAAAGTACAAGTGCTCTATCAAAAAAGTGCCTTGAGTAGAAGTTGAAGTGCTCTTTAAGCACCACACTTAAGTAAGAACTAAAGTATTCAACATCTTTTGTACTTAAGTATTGCAAGCAGTTTATTTAAAAATGTACTACTTAAGTACTAAAAGCAAAAGTACAAGTATTGTGTCATGTAATTATTAAAGAAGGCAGTCAAAAGTTTGAACTAGCAATCAAATAAGGCGCTTTGGCGGGATACAAATTTGCTTTGGCGGCCGCCAAAAAATGTCATTGCAGGACAAACCCTGCATTAGTTGTCAATGTGTGTGTCAATCAATACCATTACCCTATAAAACTGGCGTGCGATTTAGGCAGCATGAAAGCCAACTTGCAATGAATGTTTCATACATTTTTTATAATTGTAACGAGTAACTAGCAGAACATTAAAAAAATATCGAAGTAAAAGAATTAAATTCATCGAAAATATCAACAAACCGAATTCCATAAAAGTTGGGACACTGTACAAATTGTGAATAAAAACAGAATGCATGATGTGGAAGTTTCAAATTTCAATATTATATTTAGAATACAACATAGATGACATATCAAATGTTTAAACTGAGAAAATGCATAATTTTAAGGGAAAAATAAGTTGATTTTAAATTTCATGGCATCAACACATCTCAAAAAAGTTGGGACAAGGCCATTTTTACCACTGTGTGGCATCCCCTCTTCTTTTAATAACAGTCTGCAAACGTCTGGGGACTGAGGAGACAAGTTGCTCAAGTTTAGGAATAGGAATGTTGTCCCATTCTTGTCTAATAAAGGCTTCTAGCTGCTCAACTGTCTTAGGTCTTCTTTGTTGCATCTTCCTCTTTATGATGCGCCAAATGTTTTCTATGGGTGAAAGATCTGGACTGCAGGCTGGCCATTTCAGTACCCGGATCCTTCTTCTACGCAGCCATGATGTTGTAATTGATGCAGTATGTGGTTTGGCATTGTCTTGTTGGAAAATACAAGGTCTTCCCTGAAAGAGACGATGTCTGGATGGGAGCATATGTTGTTCTAGAACTTGGATATACCTTTCAGCATTGATGGTGCCTTTCCAGATGTGTAAGCTGCCCATGCCACACGCACTCATGCAACCCCATACCATCAGAGATGCAGGCTTCTGAACTGAGCGCTGATAACAACTTGGGTTGTCCTTGTCCTCTTTAGTCCGGATGACATGGCGTCCCAGTTTTCCAAAAAGAACTTCAAATTTTGATTCGTCTGACCACAGAACAGTTTTCCACTTTGCTAGAGTCCACTTTAAATGAGCCGTGGCCCAGAGAAAACGCCTGCGCTTCTGGTTCCCGTTTAGATATGGCTTCTTTTTTGACCTATAGAGCTTTAGCCGGCAACGGTGAATGGCACGGTGGATTGTGTTCACTGACAATGTTTTCTGGAAGTATTCTTGAGCCCATGCTGCGATTTCCATTACAGTAGCATTCCTGAGTGTGATGCAGTGCCGTCTAAGGGCCCGAAGATCACGGGCATTCAGTATGGTTTTCCGGCCTTGACCCTTACGCACAGAGATTGTTCCAGATTCTCTGAATCTTTGGATGATATTATGCACTGTTGATGATGATAACTTCAAACTCTTTGCAATTTTTCTCTGAGAAACTCCTTTCTGATATTGCTCCACTATTTTTTGCCTCAGCATTGGGGGAATTGGTGATCCTCTGCCCATCTTGACTTCTGAGAGACACTGCCACTCTGAGAGGCTCTTTTTATGCCCAATCATGTTGCCAATTGACCTAATAAGTTGCAAATTGGTCCTCCAGCAGTTCCTTATATGTACATTTAACTTTTCTGGCCTCTTATTGCTACCTGTCCCAACTTTTTTGGAATTTGTATCTCTCATGAAATCCAAAAGGAGCCAATATTTGGCATGGCAATTCAAAATGTCTCACTTTCAACATTTGATATGTCATCTATGTTGTATTCTAAATATAATATTGAAATTTGAAACTTCCATCATTGCATTCTGTTTTTATTCACAATTTGTACAGTGTCCCAACTTTTATGGAATTGGGTTTGTACTAAAGTAAAAGTAGAAGTATATAAGTAGAAAAAACAATACTCTAGTAGAGTACAGATACAGCATTTTAGTACTTAAGTACAGTAATTAAGTAGTTCTACTTTGTTACAATACATCTCTGCTTTTTTCCAACACAAGGAATTACACTCTGTTCATTAAAACAACACACATTTACACTGGTGACAAAAGCAAACAGAACCCATTAGTAATTCTGATTCACCCATAGGAGCTGCACCTGTAAATTCTGTTTTTGTGATGTTTGAGTTGGGGGAGGCTCGACGCGCGAAAATTGTACTTTCAAGGTTGTTTTCAAGGCTGTCAAGATATGCTTTATTTTTGTAATTCCACTAGTGTCGCAAAAACTACATACTTCACCTTTAACAATACAAAACAAACAAACAAGGCAATCCACAGGTGAGTAAACAACTTGGCAACTTTACAAACTTAACAAAGACAATTACCAACAACTTAAAGGAGTAGTTCCCTTTTCAAAAAACTTTTGCTGGCAATTTCCTCACCCCTATGTCATCCAAGATGTCCATGTCTTTCTTTCTTCAGTCGAAAAGAAATTAAGGTTTGTTTGTTTTTGAAAACATTCCAGCATTTTTCTCCATATAATGGACTTCAGTGGGAACCAAACGGTTCAAGGTCCAAAAGACAGTTTCAGTACAAAACGAGTCATTTGGTCCATTCAACGAACCAAAACGAACTAATTGGCTCAGAAAAAGATTCGTTCATTTAGATAGATGAGTTCGAACAGGAGAGTCACGAACGTGCATTGCAGTACAGAGCAAGGCGAGCATTTGAGCTTAAAAAACGTAAACTTTGTTATTTATTAATTATATGAGCGATCGTTTCGCTTGATAAGACCCTTATTCATCGTCTGGAATCGTTTAAAGCCCTTTGAACAGTTTGCACTGAAAGTGTCTTTTGGACCATGAACCGTTTGGTTACCATTGAAGTCCTTTATATGGAGAAAAATCGTGGAATGTTTTAATCAAAAACCTTAATTTCTTTTCGACTGAAGAAAGAAAGACATGGACATCTTGGATGACATGGGGGTGAGTAAATTATCAGCAAAAGTTTTTTCAAAAGTTAACTACTCCTTTAAGGTAGAAACACAGGGCAAGAAAAAATGTGCAACTAAATAAGACACAGGTGAAAAACATAATCAGTAACCATATCAGTTTTTTAATCTTAATCGATTTTAAAACTGTGAAAGAACACAGACATAATGACAGTTTCAACCGATTTGTAGAATTATAATCCTCTGAACACACACACACTAGATGATTCAGCCGGACTGCAAGATCACACACTTGTTGATTGTAATGATTTCACATTGAGACGAAATCCCAGGGAGACTCGTGAGAACATGATTTAAAAAGAAAAACAAATAGACAACAATCAACGTCGAGCCTGTTCTGTTTTACAGTGGAAAAACAAAGTAGAAAAAAAGGATTTGGGTGATCTTTCTCAATACTCCACTTTCGTGGCATGTTTGTGGCTGCAAAATTTCAGTTATAGATACATGCAACATCCGGTAGGTGTTGCATATTTCAACCACTGGTGATAGAGACATTTTAAATGAAATTTCAATAGATAAATTCATGTCACACAATGAAGTATTTCTCCTGTACCTTTACACTACAGCTTTTTTATGCTTAACATTATATTCACATAATCAGACATATTTTTAATGTGTAGTTTACATGTGGCAGGTATATTTTAATCATATGTTTATATTGTTATTATTGTTACAATCATTATATGTAAAATTATTATGTGTTTTTAAATATTTAATCTTTGAAATGTTATATTGTACATCCATTCTTATCATGAATAATCATATAATTTAATATTTTTTCCCTCTTGGGTCAAGTTACAATGTTAGTTTTTTATGCCTAAAACAGTGATAATTTTGTAACATATAACTTATTTAATCTTCAAATACTGTTTTAAACACACACACACACACACACCCTTGCTAATTACCAATTTGCTTTTTTACTGTTTTGAATGGAAATTTGATTTTGATAGTTGCTCTGCTATTACAAATAAAAATAATCCATTCTACAGCCTCACAGTAACTGACATCGTGAAGTTACTTATCATGCAGTTGGCCTTATTGAAATGATGTTCATCTGTCTGAGACCTGAAAGCTGCAGAAGTTGTCACCGCTCAGTTTCAATAACAGCTCTTTTTAACTTAACTTCATTTCATTGGTTTCACTGTATAATAATATTTTCTCAAAAGATCAAGGAAATATGATTCCTTATGAAATGAGGCCTTTACAGTGTTGCAAACGTTTAATCTTTCATTACATCACATAGGGTTGTCCCTGTTCTTCTGCCTCTCTCAGTTCCCATTGCGGTTTGGGAGAGAGACAATGAAAGATTTGTCTCAAAAGTTATTTTTTGATCTTTGATGTCAATGTTCCACTGTCTGGAAGATCTGAGGCTATAGCTTCTGTTCCCACCAGCAGAGGGCACAATTCTCAATCACTCCTGCTGACCCTTATTTAGACCTGTGTAGATATGTTAGTTTGTATCTACACAGTTTGTTTGTTACTTGTTAGTTTAGGTGCAATTCTAGGTGTATATAAATCATATATTTTTGCAGAAACCGTTCTGTTGATTCTAAATATCTTATAAAGGATATTGTTCATACACCATTCTTCATGTTTTTAGGAGGAAAATGATGACATAGAACTGTATGTGTCATCTGTTGGAGTATCAGAACCAATGGCCCATGAGGAAATGATCCAGTTGCTCAACATCAACACCCTTCACCACAGCTCTGGGCCGCTTGCAACCACTGAGGCATCCACTGAGGTTTGTGGGCTAACTGCTCTTGTATGAAGTTACTGTCAGCTGTACTTTAAAACATACCGTTCAATCATTACAACTCTTGGTATAGTTATAGTATGTTAATGGATATGACAATCTTAAATGAATTAATTTTGTCTTGGTGGACTAAATCTACAAATGCTGCTGCAGAGAAAGTGTGGACTGTGAGGTGCTGTGAGCATATATATGTTATACAGAGGTTTGTGTGAGTGAGTTTGTGTGTGTGTGTAAGTGTGTCATTATTTTTAGTTCAACATGTTTTTTACTCCTTTATCATCATGCACTGACATATTAAGTGATGTTTTAAATCAGAGACTCGTGTAATATGAAGAAATATTTAAGAAATATTTATTTATTTATTTATTTTTGCTGTATGGGATCTTTTCAAATATATATATTTAAAAATAGTTATTGCTATAATATATTTCAAAGTATATTTACATAAATATGTTTTGGTCATTTTTGTATTTAAAAAAATATATATTTTAAATTATAAATATATATTTTTATTTTAAAATAAATATGGCTATGGAACACTACCATATCCCCCACCACATCAGGGGAATAATTACCAGCTACTTCGGAGGATTTAAACTTCGGTTCAAAACCGCCCAGTTTACAACTCACTGGCTGGACCTTGAAAAGGGAATTGTGACAGGTTGTACCATCTCCCCCATCCTGTTTGTTATGGGAATGAACCTGCTTATATCAGCTGCAGAAAAGGAATCCAGAGGGCCAACAATGGAGTCCAGTATCCAACAACCTCCGATAAGAGGCTTTATGGATGACCTTACCAAAACAACTTCAACCCATGTGCAAGCAAGATGGATCCTGAAGGCACTTGATGACGTGGTATCCTGGGCTAGGATGAAGTTTAAACCAAGGAAATCAAGAAGTATGGTGATCAGAAGCGGGAAAGTGACCAGCAAGTTCCAGCTGCGAGTACAGGGGGAGATGATCCCATCAAGTGAGGAAAACCCAATTAAGTGTCTAGGGAAATGGTATGATGCATCCTTGACCGACAGATGCAACGTTTCTAGGACAGAGAAACAGGCTGATGAATGGCTGAGCAAGCTCGAGAGGTCAGGTCTGCAAGGGAAGTTCAAGACCTGGCTCTTCCAACACGGTCTGTTACCACGACTCATGTGGCTACTGACACTTTATGAAGTACCTATGACAGCAGTGGAAGGAGTCGGGAGGCGAGTGAATAAACATCTTCGCAAGTGGCTCGGAATCCCACCAAGCTTTACGTCAGTTGGGCTATATACCAGGTCTGGTCAGGTACAGCTACCCCTATCATCAGTGGTGGAAGAGTTCAAGGTGGCAAAGTGCCGGGTTGCGATGATGTACCAAGACTCCGCTGATGAAAAAGTCAGAAAAGCAGGCGTGACTACGAGATCAGGACGCAAATGGGCGGCTGACACATCAGTGGCGCAAGCGGTAAGCGCATTGAAGCTGAAGGACATCATTGGGAACCCATGCATAGGGAGGCAAGGACTCGGGTCTGTCCACTTCCAGCAGTGGGGTAAAGCAGACCCAAGGCAAAGGAGGGACATGATCCAAGCCGAGGTCCGACATCTGGAGGAAGAAAGGCGCATGTCCAAGGCTGTCGAACTTGGAGTACAGGGTGCCTGAACAAAGTGGGACCTGCCGAAGCGGAAGATCACGTGGCCTGAGATCTGGAGACTGGAACCCTTTCGCTTCTCCTTCTTGTACGACACCCTTCCATCACCAACAAACCTCCACAGGTGGGGAATGAGGGACGACCCACTGTGTAGGCTATGCAGAGAGAGGGGAACAATGGCGCACATACTGGCAGGATGCAAAACAGCCCTTAGCCAAGGAAGATACAGGTGGCGCAATGACAAGGTTCTCTGTGAACTAGCCGACATCCTGGAGCGGGAGAGGCAGAAAAAGCGCCAGTCCAGTGCAAGGCCAGTATCAGCTATTCAGTTCATCAGAGAAGGGGAGAAACCACCAGCCCCCAAGAGGAGGGAAAAGAGCCTCTTGCAAGTAGCACAGTCCTGGGAGATGAGGGTGGACCTGGGAAGGAAACTAGTCTTCCCCCAGGTTGTGCAGACACCACTGAGGCCGGACATGGTCTTATGGTCCGAAGAGGGTAGGAAGATAATCTTGATCGAACTGACGGTCCCTTGAGAAGACGGGTGCGAGGAGGCCTATGAGCGGAAAGCCACTAAGTATCAGGACCTCGTTGAGCAGTGCAAGGCCAAAGGGTGGCAGACCTGGCTATTCCCGGTGGAGGTCGGGTGTGGGGGCTTCCCTGCGCAGTCTGTGTGGAAGACTCTCACAGCTCTGGGTATAGCAGGAAGGGAGAGAAAGGCAGCTGTCCGTAGGTTGGGTGAGGCAGCAGATAGAGCGTCTTGCTGGCTCTGGAATAGAAGGAAGGAGTTGAGCTGCTGGGGGCCAGGAGGAGGTGGGCAGTGACTGGCCACCACTGCCGACCTGCCAACTGGAGGGTGTTGTGGTTCAGGGTCGAAACACCCAGTGAAGGTTGGATGCTACCTGATGACATCTTCTCCTGGCCGAAAGCTACAGTCATGCACTACAGTCAATGACTAAGTAGATAGCATCTTTAAAGATGTATCCAATAGTTCCCTGAGAAAAGGAATGAGACACTGCGTCCTAAGACTCTATGGAGAACCGGTGTTGACAGCGTAATCGGTGTCTAAAGCACGTGTCTAAACACGACAATAACCTATGACATCACTAATGGTGTGACCAGAGTAAAATGGTATCTTTAGTACACATCAACAACAACTTTGTCTGAAGGAGATGTGGGCAGGCATACCCTTTTCAGGGAATCTTGAGTAACCTGAGGCGTTCCCTATCGAATTGAAACTCGCACTACGTCCTAGGACGATATATGGGGAAGAAATGCCCTGCTCCAGAGTGACTCTCTTCCCTAGGGCCAAAAACCCTGGCTATAGATACTCCATGGGCAGAGCTCAGGGCTTGGTATTATGGCCTTTCAGGGGACATTATACCCCTGACGAATGGAGGACTCTGGAAAACCACTCTCAAAATGAGAGGAGACCTAGTAACACTCTAAAACAATATCATCAAAGAGGCTTGCAGACAGCCAATGATCTAATATAGTATCCAAGTTGAGCTTTCAGAACAGAAGCCTCAGCACGACAATTCTCAAAAGCGAGAGGAGGCCTGCTACTTTCTACAGTAAGGTCTGCTTACCAAGGAGGTTCAAAAAGAGCCTGACAACTTCATACCGCTATCACCTCACCTTGGAGGCTCACATGGAGTCATACGACTTCATGTTATTTTATGCGAAGCTGTAGGTAGTGGAGGTCTCAGCATGAAGATTCTCTCAATCAAGAAGAAACCTAACAACGCTTCCCTAATAGTGGTTCCGCCAAGGAGGCCCACAAAAAGCAATTCAAGCTGGCGTGACTACTCGGACGGAGATTTAAGAATGGAGGCCTTAGCAGGACAACTCTCTAAAACAAGAGTAAGCCTAACTACGTTCTAAGCTAACGACTGCTTACCAAGAAGGCTCAACAATAGCTCTACAATAGATACTGCTATCCAAGCAGAGCTCTGGGGAGCGAAGGTCTCAGCAGGACGACTCTCTCTTTACTCCACCAAAGACAGTTCCACCAAGGAGGCTCACAGAGAGCCATACCACTCAATGTCACTGTCTATGTCACAGAATTATATTGAAATCAGAATATGCTCATTACAGGGAGAAGAGGCCCTTGCCCATAACTGGGAAGGTTCTACTCCATGCTCATACTAAATGACCGATGGAAGCTAACATCTTCAACTATTGTAAAACCAGTAGTAGGATTTGGTCTCTAGAATCTCTAGACCATAAAACAGGAAAGGTTCACCCATGGTCGAAAGAGCTCATCCCAGGGACTGGAGGACGCTGCCGTCAAACCCGAGGAAAAAGCCCCGTCAGGCCCCGAGCTATGGCAGGGAGACGTATTATCTTGTTCCCTGTTCTAAGGGAACATAGGTTACCGTCGTAACCTGAGACGTTCCCTTTTGAAGGGAATGAGACAATATGTCATTGACACTTTGAGAAATGAAGTACACACTCCGCCATGCTGAGGGGAGTGCATGCCCAAGGGCAGTGACAATTGTCAGAACCAGTAATTCAAAGAACAATGAAACCACTTGCCATTGGGTTGTCAGTGACAGCATTCCCTACCGGTCATAGCCCAAGCTAATTAACCAAGAAAACTGCCAGAACATAGTTAATAGGATGTTTATCTGGGCCAGCTCAAAGGCTTAGGACAACTTCCTAATAAAAGGGGACACTTTTAGGGTGTGTGGCTAGGGGACCCAAGGGACTCAGCCAGTCACTATTCAGGAGAGCATGCTTTCTGAAATGCCACCAGGCTGGCCTGGTGATCTATATGGCTAGATCCACAATCTAGCCATTGCCTGTCTGTTCGAGACACAGCCTCCGGAAATTGCCTTGGAAAAGGCATCCAAAAACCGAAGGCCTGCAAAGCTGGCAGAAACCATTCAGTTCCGGATCACAGAGACAGGATCCCCCCGGATAGTGTGACTCAACCTCAAGAAACGACGGAAGTCGTCCACTCAAACCACCGATCTACACATTGCTCGTCCTGAACACCGAGGAAGTAAGAGAGGGATCAAAACCAGGAAGGTCTACTGATGCCTAAGACCTGAATGACCACTATGTGGGGAGCTCCAGTACATGAGGGCTCATATCAGGAAAGCCGGTGAGGCCTGAAACCTGACGACCATAGCATGTGGAAGCTTATACTCAGGAGGGCCTGTGAGGCCTGTAACCTGTCGACAGCAGTATGTGGGAGCTTACATTCAGGAAGGCCGGGTGGGGCCTGTAACCTGGTGACCACAGTAGGTGGGAGCTCATATCAGGAAGGCCAGTGAGACCTGTAACCTGGTGACCACAGTAGGTGGGAGCTCATATCAGGAAGGCCGGTGAGGCCTGTAACCTGGCAACCACAGTGGGTGGGAGCTCATATCAGGAAGGCCGGTGAGGCCTGTAATATAGCGACCACAGTAGGTGAGCTCATATCAAGAAGGCCGGTGAGGCCTGTAACATGGCGACCATAGTAGGTGGGAGCTCATATCAGGAAGGCCGGTGAGGCCTGTAACCTGGCAACCACAGTAGGTGGGAGCTCATGTCAGGAAGGCCGGTGAGGCATGTAATATGGCGACCACAGTATGTGGGAGCTCATATCGAGAAGGCCGGTGAGGCCTGTAACATGGCGACCATAGTAGGTGGGAGCTCATATCAGGAAGGCCGGTGAGGCCTGTCACCTGGTGACCACAGTGTGTGGGAGCTCATAACCAGAAAGGCCGGATGAGGCCTGTAACCTGATAACCACAGTATGTGGGAGCTCACATTCAGGAAGGCCAGGTAAGGCCTGTGACCTGACATGTGGAAGCTCATAACCTGGAAGGCCTGGTGAAGCCTGTAACCTGGTGACTACAGTATGTGGGAGCTCAGCTCACTTTACAATACATTACCTGCTTACCAAAAATGTCCCTGGCTCTGAACAGGAGACGAGTTCTGAAAAAGAAGAGAAAAATATTATTTGCGTAAAAAAAAATATCACTCAACATAAAACCTGCAGCGTGCGGAATGAAGCACACCAGTACTCAGAAACTCAGTAACCTGAGTTCTACTGTTTCACAAGCCAAGGGTAGGCGCTCCTATCAACCAAGCTGAAGCGGGCATGATGAGTTCAGAGAATTCCTTAACTCATCATGGGCCCCGCCCCAGGCCTGATGTAGGAGGAGCCTGGGAGCGATGGTGGTTAGGAGACAAGATCCAGGGAGGTCAAATGTCTAACTCCCTGAGATATCCTGCCTCCCGCTGAGGTTACGCCTCTTATGCGCCCTACTCCCTCTGCTAGGAGGAGGGGGTGCACGGGAAGCAACACTGGCCTTCTGGGTCTGTCTGTGATCCTCCGTAGAGACCATGACGGACCAGGCCCTCCTGCCTGCCTGGCCTGGACCGAGGACCTCCGCGGTATGCAGCTCTTAAACTCCACAGAGCGCGGCTTCGCTTCCCTGAACATATCGAGGAGAAAGGTTATTCTTTCTCCCCGATGTCAGCCTGGTTGAGCCACAGATGCCTCTCCATGGCCACCATAGCCATCCTTGCACAGTCGATGGACACAGCGGACTGTTTGGTGGCCTCGAGAGCCAAATCCATGGTGGGGCGCAACTCTGCGACTGTGTCAGGAGACAGGCCCGCCCCCTGATCGAGTTTCTGCAGCAGGTCGGCTTGGTAGGCCTGAAGGACCACAAGGGTGTGCAGAACCGCACCTGCCTGACTTGCTGCTGTGTGCGCTCTGCCATTCAAGCGTGATGTTGTCTTAAGTGGCTTGGATGGCAGGGTTGAAGCTCCCTGAAGACCGACCAGAGGCAAGATAGTTGGTCAAAGTCTCGTCCACTTGCGGCATCGACACATACCCATGCTCCCTGGCCCCATCCACCGCAGTGAAACTAGCCCTCTGATGCAGATGAAGACACGCAGAGAATGTGTTCTTCCATGCCTTCTCATCTCAGAGAGGAGATCGGGAAGGAATGGAAGGCTCGTCCAGGCTGGTGGCTTACGGGTAGGGAGGTATCGATTGTCCAAAATACCACAAGCAGGTTCCTCCCAGATGCGCCTCCACTGGAGCTGCAATCTGTTGGTGGCGCACCCCATAACGTCCACCAACTCAGCGTACACTGGGCAGGAGGGCTGAGATGGTTCAGTCCCAGCAGACTGACATCATCGGCAGCCGACTCCTGCCCGGCCTGAAGAGAACCAGTTTAAGACCCATCAGAAAGAAAAAGAACCTCCTCTACATCGACCTGTAACTCACCCTCGTCAGCTGCAGATCATCCATGAGGTTAACGCCCGTCTCCAGCTGATCTGCCACGTGCTCAAGCACCGTTGAGCCTCAGCCCGAGCGGGACCGACACCGCGGGGTTCAGATGCCGCACACACTTCCCTTGAGAAGTGGGACAGACGAGAGCGGAGAGTTCTAATAGAAAAACTCCCACAGTTTGCCCAGGCAGAAAACGCACAGTTCGTGTGAGTCCTCTGGTGTCAGATATCTGGGACACTTTTCAGCACACTTGCGAAAGGAATTTCTCCTCTTCTCTGTGCGCTTCATGTTTTTTTTTCACTTCTCAAACAGACAAAACAGTCGTGAAAACGAAAGGATGATGTCACGGTTTCAAGGTGCCCTTTTTATTCATCCAGGTTGCATGCTCATCATTCAAACTGATGATGCACTGGCTGTTACCGATCAACATGTTTGCTGTGAGTTGACACTTGATTTCAGACACCTGTCACGCCTGGCCTGAGGCATTCCCCAAAGCGTCAATGACGTATTGTTGAGGTCCCTTCTAAAGAGAACCCATGTGCAGATTTATTCAAATAAACAAAATACAAAATAGACAGACTTGAATTTGAACACATCAGCAACAGTTATAGGGAACAAAGTTAGACAAAGGAACAATGAAACATGAGACTGATGATTGATGATTGACAAGCCTGAGTACCTGAGCATGATCAAGACAGTAAACCAATGACAAAACAGAACTGATGAACACATGACAAGACACATACGACTAGGGAAGCACATAACGTGATATAAAAATAGGTGTGTTTGACTTAAAGCAGTGTTTGGCATCAAAGTTCTGAAAGCATGCATAGCCGTCTGCTCTCTAATCAATCTCGCGGTACTTTGAGGTCTTACACCCATCGGTCTGTGCAGCATTGCTTCAAGTCGAACATACCTAATACGCACATGAACAAGAACAAAACCTAAACAAATGTGACATAAATGCTGTAAGAAGCATGGCAAAAGTATTTTTGAATACACTACATAGGCAATGAATCATAGGAGATAAAACTGTGATTGAAAATAAAAGCAATATTTCAAAGAAAAGTATACGTAATTGTATTTTTTTAAATTTAACAATATTTTTATTCTTCAACCCATTAAAGCATTTAAGGTGCTTTTTCTACCTGATTTGACCATTAAAAATGTCTTTCCTCTTCATAACCCAGAATTCCCAATTTTTTTTATCATATAAACCACCATACCATAATTCGATTTTTGACGTTTTTTTTTTTACGTTACTTTAAACCTAAAATTATATTATATTGACAATGATATAAAAAATTATATATATATACAATAACAGGGTAATCTTTGACACTAATACAAAGATATTGTTTGTAGAAGGTTGCATTTATAGTTTCAAATGAAATTTTTACTATACATTACATTACGTAGATCTTTAATATACAAGTTCACTTCACTTCTGGAAAAAAAATTTTTGTAAATGCATCATATACAGTAGAACATCGCATTTGATGTTGATGATGTTTTGTAATACACCAATATCAATTATTTATTATTTATAGAATTATTTACTGATTTTGCACTATTTTTTAGCTTTTTTTTGCAGTATAACAAGTGCATTTTAAGTACAGTTTTAAGTTTCATGTAAACTCTCCACTAATATGAGATCATTATTAATGATTATTAAACATTAATATGTTATTTATGTAACAACTACCTAAGGACAGGTGAATGTGTGTTGCAATGCATTTCATCCAGTGTGTGTGTCTGTGTGGGTGGGCAGGTTTAGGGGTGGAGTCAGTCTCTGTGTCAAGCTCAATGTCAATGTCTTCCTTAAGATCACACTTGTTGATCCTTTCACTCAACCACAGTATAAATGCATGTCAGGTCTCTCAAAACTCATGTCCGATGTAGCATGCAGTGACATTGTTGGTTCTGGACAGTTTTGATTTTTTTTTTTTTTTTTGTGTGTCTGTTTTTGAACAGAAGAATGTTTTCAAAAACCACCATGAGACGGACAGCATCTGGGGTAAAGACGGATTCTACGTGCTGGTTATCTGTCTCACAATATTCATCATCATCTTCAGCTGTTTAATGGTACGTATCTCTCACAGTCTTCTACCATTCAGTTGATTCGAATAGGATAGGAAGCTATATGGGAAAGATTAATGAAATCTCAGGAAACCTAATGTTTTATTGATTTTGTTTAAAACGTTGTCTCAGAAGTTTCTCCTAACATTCCTTCATAGACATAGAAAGAGTTGTCAAACAGTAAGATACTTGACACTTGATGAAATGACAACTCGATGAGAAATGTTTAAGTTCGGATTGAGACTAAAAGGAGATGCTGGGATCTTTCTCACGAGAAACATCTGAGAAGCAGAAACCCTACGTATAAGTCCCCGTTTGCTCTCCATTCCATCTCAGTGCTGTCTTGGAGAAACAAATAAGATATGAAAGAGTTCTCATTTGAGATTTTTGTCCGTCCTACGGGTTTGAATATTGAATTTGAATATTGAATTGAGTTTATTCACTTGGAACGGTTCAAATACTTCCTGTTTCATGCTTGTCTCAGCAAACACCCTCGTGAAGTAAACACCAAACGGTTATTAACATTCAAGTCTGCACACACTGAAGGCACTACTTGGGTTTTGATATACAGTGAGTAATAGTGAAAAAGACCTGAACAGAAGCAGAGACACAGGATATGATACAGAAAAGAGTCATTGCAAAACGGATGTATTGTGGCAGAGGAAGTCGCATGGTTTCCTCTGGTGGTTCAGCACTTTAAAAGGATCAGCACTGCCATCTTGGTCACACCTGACTCCGCCCTCTGATTGGTCGACGTTTGCTCTTAACATTTTAAGTCTGTATTAACTCTGGCGATGACATCATAGCACGTCCTCAGAGCACCCGCACTCTCTTGCACCGACGGACTGAAGAGCTTAAGGAATAAATACCACGATAAGCTGTGAGCCGATCTCAACGGCAGGGCCTGCTGAAGCATTATTAGCATTGTGATTCTCTAAATACTAGGACAGGAGGAGTTTTCAAACTCTTTATGATGATCCTTTTGCAGGTGGCACCCCTTTAAATTTACATTTGTATTTATATTGTGAAAGATCAAATATTATATATACGGTAAAACATGATCTGGAAAAAAAGAAGAAGAAAAAAAATATATTATATTATATTATATATATATATATATATATATATATATTATACTATTAGCTTACTGTTAGTTGTGAAAAGAAACATAAAACTATGGCAGTATGAAAAAGGTAATATAAAATGTGGTAAAGGTTTACAACAAAATTAAAATAAAAATATTAGTTGAAAAACTTAAACGGGAATTATAAATTAAAATTTAAACTTAAGTTGAAGCATGGGAATTATTGACTGGAAATAGAGAAAACTAAAACTGGAAAAATTATAATAAATTGACTTAATGTAATTGCTAAAAGTAGCATGCAATATAAAAATATAGCTAATTCAAAATATGAATTATACATAATAAAACTACAATAAAAAAATGAAATTTTTACTAATTGTAACATTATATATCATTAATCTGCGTTGAACTTTATTTATAATTTATTTTTGAAATATATTAATTTTAAATTGTATTATTTCACTTTTTTAACACATGTTCACATGTACAAGATGCATGTATGCTGGAGAAGGCGTGGGTGTTTGATTGCTGAGTAACACCTTATAATAGTGTTCATTGATAATTAATTCATAAATATTATCACATGGCTCTAGAATACTTGATTCTGATTGGTCAATTTAGACATTTCTAACAATTTAAATGTACAATGACAAAGAATCTGCATGAAACAACAGTATTTATTCAAATTAAACTTTTTTAAACGTGATTCAACTTTATGTTAGAAGTTGACATAGGTGTGAATCGTGAATGCTGTGAGAGTGTGCAGTGTGAAAGCTGTGTTTTGCCCCTGTAGGGGAGCCGGGTCCATTTGCAAGTTTCATTAGATCATTTACAAACCACATTAGTGTCCGGGAAAACAAACAGAAATAAAAGTGTTGTTTGTTCAAAGGTAAAGTTCATTTGATAGGAGTCAGCACTGAAACCACACCACACAGCTCATTATGATGATGAGATAGAGACCTCTGGTGGAAAACTTGGGAATTACTGGATACAAATGTGAATACGTTTATTTTATGTAAAAAAGTCACGGTTATAAATACACCCGTGTCCGTGTGGACAAGGCATTAATGTAAAGATTAAGATTATAAAAGCTCATTTGAATTCTCAACAAGATTTAATTGAAACTGACTGAAAGTATTCAGGTTCATAGACGCTTTAAATTATGACGTAGAAAAAAAAATACTGTTCTTACAAATTACTTATTATTTTTTTTTACAAATGTAATACATTCATTTATTAATTATGATATTATGATCATTAAAATAACTTTTATTAAATTTAAACTGAAATTAGTAAAATTTTGTTAAGTGTGTAGTGCTTTTGTGTTCCTAGTGTTTATTAAAAGTTAGTTTGTTTGTCAAGCTTTGTGCATTTCACTACTGGAACCCTTGACAATGTGAATTATCGAGTGAATTTATATATATATATATATATATATATATATATAAATCTTGCTCTGTATCTTGCTGGGAGTGCGAGTTGTTTAGATTGAAAGTAGACAATAAAACCGTGTCTGAAATGAAGATACATTACAAACTGATTTGTTCCTTCATTGCAAATGTCTAGAATTGCTTTTACATCAAAAAACTGTTTGGAAATGGTTGGATGTAACATTTTGTGGAAACTGTGACGACACTACCAATACAAAAAATAAATAAAAAACATCTTCACCAGTCTTCACCAAAAACACCAGTCTACTAATACTCTACTAACACTAGTTAGTAGACATGTAGGTGCAATGACATGCAGTTACTTATAGTCAACAAAATGTTAAAGGGATAGTTCACTTTGAAATTAATTTTTGATATGTTTTAGCTTACCTCAAGGGCATCCAAGATGTAGGTGTCTTTGTTTCCGAAGTAGTTTCAATTTTTATATTTTTAGGTCAAACTGTTTGTGTCTGTTAGTCATATAATGCAGGTCTATGGTCACCACCTCAAAGAACATACACAGAGAAGTCCAAATTAAACATGATATAATGACTCTTAAATGTAAGTAAGTATGTATAAATATATGTAATGGCCTAAGACACGAAACGAGCAGTTTGTGTGAGAAAACGAACAGTATTTATATCGTTTTTACCTCTTGTTACCACAGCCACAAAGCGCCTGTGCCCTCAGATCACTTCGACTTGGCTGTGGTTACAAGAGGTAAAAACGATATAAATACTGTTCGTTTTGTCACACAAACTGCTCGTTTTGTGTCTTAGGCCATCAATGTGTACTTACATTTACGAGTCATTAAATCATGTTTAATTTGAACTTCTCTGTGCATGCTCTTTGAGGTAGTGACCATAGACCTACATTATATGCAGTGTTGTAGTCGAGACCACCACACTCGAGTCCGAGTCAAGACCGAGACCAGAGAGAGTCGAGTCCGAGACCAGAGACGGTCGAGTCCACGTCGAGACCGAGACCAGTGAGGGTTGATTACCTAATTTACTTTTATTTACTTAGAGAAATCCTTTTTTTTTTTTTTTTTTACTGAATTTACTTAGAGTTTAAAAAATATGATCAGTTTAGGGTAAAAAGGCCACATAGTACGTGGTGTTAAAAGTAATTTTATTACAATTTGTCATGCGCAGTTGCGCACTAGAAAATCACCAATCACTGGGCGGGTCAATCAATTTAAAGAAATATTTTATTAACATACTTTAATAATCATGAAAAATATTTTGAATTGAACTCGATGGGACTCGGGAATAAGTCCGAGTCCTAAAAAAAAAATGTTCGAGTATGAGTCAATTCCTAGTCGAAATGGACACGAGTCCATGACAAGACCAAGACCATTAAAATATGGTCTCGAGACCGAGTCCGAGACGAGTCCGAGTCTCAAGTACTACAACACTGATTATATGACTAACAGACAAGAACGGTTTGACCTAAAAATATCAAAATTGAAAATACTGCGGAAACAAAGACACCTACATCTTGGATGCCCTTGAGGTAAGCTAAAACATACCAAAAATTAATTTCAAAGTGAACTATCCCTTTAAAGGGACCATCACAATAAAGTGAAACCTGCATTTGTACTGCAGTAACTGGGATTTGATCTGAACTCTACTCCCATGTTCTATATTTTTCTATGAAAAAAATTTCTAGTGTGTCAAGTTTTTCGATGAGTTCACCAATCTGCAATTTCGAACAGAATTCAATTCTGCTGTAAAGCAGCTCTAAAAAGACAATAGTAAACAGTCGTTATTCAGTCGAAATAAGTTCAGAGTTGATTCAGTTCTGTTCAATAACTGTAAAGTTCATCATTGTGTTCAGCTATAAAGCAGCTCTGGAGAAAACAGTGATGTCCTCGTCCAGCTCAGTCCAGTTCTCATCTGATAGTGCCAGTGCAGTTGGATTAATAATATGGAATATCAAGTGTCTCCAACTACGCAAGCCAGAGGCGACAGTGGCAAGGAACCCAAATTCAGATATGGAGAAAAAAACCTCTGGCCAGACGAACGAACATGGTGTGATTATGATTCCTGGCTGCATCACATACCAGATTGTGGATTGATTTCATTCATACAGTCTGGGGGATACATCACGCCAGCACATGGAAGGAGGAAGAGTTGAAGCTGGTCGTAAGGTCTGTGCGGAGAACTTGTCTGGTTTTCGATCTGTGCCGATGACTGTCTAGTCAATAAGGTTCACACGAGGTCTGTCTTTAGGGCCTAGTTTTTATGCTCTCCATGGACATTCAGGGCTGTTGTGGTCGTCAGGGTGCAGGTTTCCTGTCTGGTGTACAACGGTAACATTGGGATAAGAATGAGACAGGTTAATATTAGCATAGGCCTAATATTACAAAGTAACACACATCTGATGTCATGGGAAGTGTTCATGGTTCTGGTTGAATTTATTCAGCCAAACATTTCTTTAACGAGCGTGAATTATAGAAATGTGATAGTGTGTTATGTGTAGGGTTGGGTATCGAGAATCGAGTATCGATTGGAACCGAGACTAACTTTTCATTTTTCCCGGAATCGTTCAAAAGTTAAAATTTCGATTCCTAGTTTCGATATTCACAGTCCGCCGAGCGGAAGAAGAAACCGCTGAACAACACCAACGAAGAAGCGTCTACCGGAAGTGTTGGCATAACCGCGCGAGTCGAACATGAGTAGCTTACGTCGGCGGTCCAAAGTGTAGCTTCACTTTTCTAAAAATAACGAAATTTTGGCAAAATGCAAAATTTGTGACAAAAGGAGTATTTGTGACAGAAGGAGTATTTCCTTCAGAAAGGCCGTTGGTTAGCAAGGTTAGATAAACTTTTTTGACCCTGCCTCTTAAAAGAATCGGAATCGAGAATCGTTAGGAACCGGAATCGAAACAAGAAATCGGAATCGGAATCAGAATCGTTCAAATTCAAACGATACCCAACCCTAGTTATGTGTAGGGTTGGGTATCGTTTGAATTTGAATGATTCTGATTCCGATTCCTTGTTTCGATTCCGTTTCCTAACGATTCTCGATTCCGATTCTTTTAAGAGGCAGGGTCAAAAAAGTTTAGCTAACCTTGCTAACCAACGGTCTTTCTGAAGGAAATACTCCTTCTGTAAAAATACTCCTTTTGTCACAAATTTTGCATTTTGCCGAGATTTCGTTATTTTTAGAAAAGTGAAGCCACACTTTGGACCGCCGACGTAAGCTAGTCATGTTCGACTCGCGCGGTTATGCCAACACTTCCGGTAGACGCTTCTTCGTTGGTGTTGTTCAGCGGTTTCTTCTTCCGCTCGGCGGACTGTGAATATCGAAACTAGGAATCGAAATTTTAACTTTTGAACGATTCCGGGAAAAACGAAAAGTTAGTCTCGGTTCCAATCGATACTCGATTCTCGATACCCAACCCTAGTTATGTGTATGCCAGGTTAAAGAGATGGGGTCAAGTGTGTGTCTGTCTCCCAAACATGGCTAGGAATGGACTGTTCCAGAGTTTGGGCACTAAAAAGGAAAAGGATCTACCGCCCACAGTTGATTTTGATATTCTTGGTACTGGTCAGAATTTTGAGATTGCAGTGGACGTGAAGGATTATATGATAGTGCACAGAGTTCTCATCATCATTAATGGGAATGACAAAAATCATTTACTTTCTTTAGTGTTTTTTCTTTGCGAGATCTGCAAGTGACTTTTATAAAGTAATATTTTCTTTCCTTAGGTGCTTTACCGAATAAAGGAGAAGGAATTCTTGGATCAGCAGCTTAAAGACCCATCCCCATCCACCCGGGACGTCCAGCTGGCACCCATCCCTGTTCATGGTGCTCAGCCTCCTTTGACCCTCAAGAACAGCATGGTCCAGGCCAACCAGACGTCCAAACCCAGTGCCACCCATTTAACCAGCAGTACAAGCACCCCGTCCTGTAACATCAACATCAGTCAAACTCTTTCAAGCGTGACGACGTCAGAGCCGCAGTGCCCACCCAGCCACTCTGTGGCTGAACTCAAACCCAGTGTGTCCTCCACACATTCACCTTTTAGGATGAAGCCTGGTGGAGGCCTGCAGGAGCGGTAAGACTTATTTTGTGCATGAAAACACATTAATAAAATCAACAGTTATAATGTTGTTTCAAACCCACATTGCTGTTATTTTTAGGTAAACACAAAAATGAGAATTTTAGAAGAATTTGAGAGAAAAAAATAAATAATAACAATTACTTTGTAGATAATTTTTCTCTTTTTTTTGTAGAATATTCTATTTTTCTATTGTGTTTTGGATTTTAACTATGACAAGGTGATTGGATGCACATAACTAAGCGAAAGAGCTGTTTATATACTCTTCTGCCACACACACAAAAATATGTACATATTTCTTCACAAAAACAGTACTTTTAGGTCATAGTATAAGTAGGTGTTTTGAGACAGCATGAGGCTATAAATCTGCAATGACATATATGACATAAGTTTGTGTTTGTTATTGTCTCCTCACACTGACCACACACCATCAATTTGGTCACAGCACCACCTATTGATCAAAAGTAATAAGGAAATTACAAGTACAATAGGTGACATTCAAGTATTTACAAGTATTTATTCAGCTATATTCAACCATGTATCAACATTTAACTAAAACCCAGCCTCTGAAATATTAATAATTTTTATTAATAGTTAATTAATAGTTATATTAAATCATTATTCATGTTTGTTATATTAAATTAATTCTGCTATTAATTCCTAAATGAGCAATCATAAGTTTTAAAAAGTGTCACGTTTACACAATCATGCAGTAGACAAAATCAATGTGATTCTATCATGGCTCTTTGGAGCAGCAGTCTATGTTTATCCATATATGCAGATATATGGTATAAGACCAAATACAGTTTTCCTGAAATATTACTGTTATTTTTGTGTCTCTCGCAGACGAGGATCTAACGTCTCTCTAGTGCTGGATATGAGTGCTTTGGGATCGGTGGAGCCTATAAGTTGTGGGGTTGTGACTCCACGAGAGCGTGTGACTCAGGAATACCTGCAGTCTGCCAGTCGAGTCCTCTCACGGCAACAGCTTCGTGACATCACATTGAACACCCAGAGACTGCATGCAGAATTTGTCGTAAGTGATACACCAGTGCAACACAATACTTTTAGAATTAATTGTGTTCTTCAACTTGACACAAATAATAGTGATAACTTAAAGCTTACTAGTGATAACCTAGTAAAACAAAATAAAGGCAATAATACAAGGTGTAACATAACACAAGTAGGTGTAACTTTGTGTTCTAATCACAAACAACACCAAACAAACAAATGAAAGAACCGAGACAAACTTAAAACAAACAGGTTTGAAACTAGTGGTGGGTAACAGAGAATAAAGGAAAACTAAATAAATAACTAAAGCAGGCAAAATAGGAATAGGAACCAAAACTGAGCATAACTGATGTAGGATTTAATGGATGCTTTATGTTATATCTGAATGCTGAAATCTATTTTAAGGCTGTACACTTTGAAAGTGCTTATGTAATGGTGTTGACCATTTCCATTATACTCAGCTGAGTGTGTAACTTTTTTTTATCCACAGGAAATTCCCATGAACTTTGTGGATCAGAAAGAACTGGATATCCCAAATCATGGATCAAAAAATAGATACAAGACCATTTTGCCAAGTTAGTATCTGAATTTCTACATTTTGTTGTTATTTGAGTTGAATCATGCCAAGGAATTGGTATCAACTACTGAAATGTAGGTATCCACAAGTTTCTTACGCCCCATGAGGCCTTGCGTCAAAAGTGGGCGCGACTTCCGGTTGGAAGTAAACAAAGCGAGACTTGACATGCTTGACACTCGTTCATTCAACAGTTGACAGTCATTCAAGTTATAGTGATCCAAACTAGCTAACGATGTGGCAACACAACCTCAATAACAGTACAAAAGGTGAAATAACAGTACCTTTACCCTCCGCAGTAGTTGATTGGGAGTATTATAATAACATTATTAATAATCAATACTCATCAAGGCATGGTGACAGACAGTTGTGTGAGCTGACAAACAATTAAAATAAAAAATACACACTTAGTCATTGTGCTTTGGAGTTTATTCAAAATTATAAATGAATGTGCTACTTGAATACATTTGGTATTCTGTCAACACAGGCTTTGATCCTGCGTTTAGGTGTAACATCAGTAGTGAACAGCCAATCACATGCTGATAGAGTCTATAGAATATTAAGAATTTAAACAAATGTACACAGGAAGATTCGTCGTCTTTTGGGAGGTGATGGAAACTACAGTCGTTGGCAGGATCACTCTGATTTCGTTTTCAGCTTATGTTCAAAACAAAGCCACTGAATTAGTTTAGTCCGGTTATACATACAACCGCGAACAGCACATGTTGTCCCTGAGCTCTGTAACGACATCTCTCATAAAGATTTGCGTCTTTAAATAGTAAAATAATTCTCCGAAAAACAGCTAGCCTCTTCGCTAACTAACACACAAAATCCCATTGGAATGCTACTTCCGCCGCCTCACCGGAAGTTTCACCCACTTTATTTTTTACAGGAGCGCCCCTCGGAAACTTGTGGATAGTGGCAACACTAAGTGCTACATTTACATGCAATAAAATAAATTGGTCAATAATTGGATTGGTGGCTCAATCTGACTGAAAAGCCTTCGTGCAAACTCGTTGATCGATACAACCAAGTTCGACCAGAATGACATTTCGATCGAATTGAAATGGGTTATGTGGTTATGTATGTATCTTAAAGGCCCACTGAAGTGCCTTGTAACGTGCAGCTTTGTATGATGCATAGTGGAAATTTACACTAAAACAGTAAGCTAAAGCGGGACATTTTGAATGAAATAGCCAATAGCATTTAGTTTACCTCACAGACTGTAAGTCGTACTTGACAGCACCATGGAAGCGAATCCAAACGCTGATGATACGTTGGATTCAGTTGTGTGAATAAATTCTAGCCTTTTCATTCTTAACCAACGTACAGTTGGAAAACATTGGCAACCAATGTTTATCAGTGGTTGTATATCAAGCAGGGACACGTTTGTGTGCACTTTTTTTGTGATTTCACTGGAACAAATTGAGAGTCTCCACAACAGCGATAGATTAAACTACAGAGTGAAGACTGTGTGCATGAGCCACAAGAGAACATTGTATTCATGCCACTGATAGCAGCGCCAACGAGCATGTGCATGTGAATCAGATTGCAAAGTTTAGGGTAAATATTTTAATTGACGAAACTGAATTTGGATTGACGAAAATCTGTGTAAATCACAGATTCATGATTTTATCTCATTTTACAAAATGTCCCAACAATTCTGGAAATGTGGTTGTACTATACCATTATTTTGAAATCAACATAGCATGCACTTTTATTTTCAACAAAACATAACATAAGAGTGTTTGAAGTGAAACTGATTTGTTGGGTTTTAGAGCAGGTGAACTATTTGCAGTATGTTAATAGTGGAATGGTGACTTTTTAATGTCTCAGGGACCCCTCATGACTATGAGGACCCCTTTAAAGTTGGCTGCTTGTAGTTAGGTCAGAATAAACACTTTATACACTAGGTATATTTTATCCCAATATAATATATAAAAGATACATACTTGAGAACAGCAGTAATGTAGTGCTTTGCTAAGTCAGCATAAAGGGCCGTAGGCAGGGTTTTATAATCACAGAAATCCCAAAGGTGTTCCCAAATTTGAGGTAGTTAGGGGGGTGCGAGGGGAATCTCGATAAAATTTTGACATTTTCACAACTTTGAAAAGATTCCTGGAGATCTACCTACCTGCAAAGTTCAGATCCAACACATGTCTGTAATTATCAAGTGCTCCTGCAGATCTTAAAGGATTAGTTCACTTTTGAAAAAACTTTTGCTGATAATTTACTCACCCCCATGTCATCCAAGATGTCCATGTCTTTCTTTCCTCAGTCGAAAAGAAATTTAGGTTTTTGATGAAAACATTCCAGGATTTTTCTCCATATAATGGACTTCAATGGGAACCGGATGGTTCAAGGTCCAAAAGACAGTTAATAACAGTTTCAGATGCAGCTTCAAATGTCTTTAAACGACACCAGACGATGAATAAGGGTCTTATCATGCGAAACGATCGGTTATTTCAAAACTTATTCCAAAAATGTAACTTTTCTAAGGACAAATGCTAGCCTTGCTCTATTCTGTGAGGCGCGTTTGCAACGTCATGTATTACGTAATTACGTTCAAAAGGTCACGGGCGACGTAGCCGAAAGTACAGAGTCAGTGTTTACAAGTTGAACGCATAGGTTGAACGTGCAAACTAACTCAAACGCCGTTTACAAAAAAAGGAATTAAAAGGAAAAACAACGATGTCGGACGATTTTGATTCTGTACTTCCGGCTACGTCGCCCGTGACCTTTTGAACGAAATTACGTATTACGTGACGTTACAAACGCACCTCAGAGAATATAGCAAGGCTAGCATTTGTCCTTAGAAAAGTTACATTTTTGGAATAAGCTTTGAAATAACCGATCGTTTCGCATGATAAGACCCTTATTCATCGTCTGGTGTCGTTTAAAGACATTTGAAGCTGCATCTGAAACAGTTATTAACTGTCTTTTGGACCTTGAACCCTCCGGTTCCCATTGAAGTCCATTATAAGGAGAAAAATCCTGGAATGTTTTCATCAAAAACCTAAATTTCTTTTCGACTGAGGAAAGAAAGACATGGACATCTTGGATGACATGGGTGTGAGTAAATTATCAGCAAAAGTTTTTTCAAAAGTGAACTAATCCTTTAATTCTCAATATTCACTTAAAATTCAATAATATTATTGATCTGACTTTACTGACACTGCTGGATGAGAACTGAAATGAGCTGGACCATGACATCATTTTTTTACAGAACTAAATGAACTAATGAACTAATTTAATAATTGAACTAATGAACTAATTTAATAATTGAAATGAACTAATTTAATAATTGATGATCTTTACAACAGTACAAAATCAACGTTGAACTGACTTCAGCTAAAGCTAAACAACAGCTGAAATGCATAATTTTCCTGTTATCACTGAAACAATCTTTATTGTATAAAGCACTATATAAATAAAGGTGACTTGTCTCTGCTTGACATTACTTTCCACCACTGTGCATTATGGATGTTGAAGTTTCCCAATCTATTTTGCAAATGGGAAGACAATTCTCTCTGTTTTCTCTAGTCAGATAGCACTGATTTCAAATTAGTTTTCACCTTTCTACTGCATAGGCAGCCAAGTTTTATTGAAAGTCCATTTACCCCTTTAATTATATAATATGTTTGCTTTATAAATGTCATCGTCTTGTGCACTAGTAGTGGGCCACTGTAGTATACTGGTGAATCAATTATAATGCAACACAAAATTCACATTTCATTTCAGATCCACATTCCAGGGTTATTCTGAAGACTAAGAAATCAAATGACCCGCTCAGCAGTTACATTAACGCCAACTACATACGAGTAAGTTTTCAGTGACACAGTCACAATTTTTTCAAAGGCCTATGCCAAAGAGCCTCTTAAAGGATTAGTTCACTATTGAAAAAACTTTTGCTGATAATTTACCCACCCCCATGTCATCCAAGATGTCCATGTCTTTCTTTCCTCAGTCGAAAAGAAATTTAGGTTTTTGATGAAAACATTCCAGGATTCTTCTCCATATAATGGACTTCAATGGGAACCAGACAGTTAATAACTGTTTCAGATGCAGCTCCAAATGTCTTTAAACAACACCAGACGATGAATAAATGTCTTATCATGCGAAACGATCGGTTATTTCAAAACTTATTCCAAAAATGTAACTTTTCTAAGGACAAATGCTAGCCTTGCTCTATTCTGTGAGGCGCGTTTGCAACGTCAAGTTACATTTTTGGAATAAGTTTTGAAATAACCGATCGTTTCGCATGATAAGACCCTTATTCATCGTCTGATATCGTTTAAAGACATTTGAAGCTGCATCTGAAACAGCTATTAACTGTCTTTTGGACCTTGAACCATCCGGTTCCCATTGAAGTCCATTATATGGAGAAAAATCCTGGAATGTTTTCATCAAAAACCTAAATTTCTTTTCGACTGAGGAAAGAAAGAAATGGACATCTTGGATGACATGGGGGTGAGTAAATTATCAGCAAAAGTTTTTTCAAAAGTGAACTAATCCTATAATGTTCTTCTTGAGGTAACTTAACTTAAATCTACTACCATCAGAAAATAAAACCTTAGTGAAAAACATTAAAAAAAGAAAAGTGAAACATTATAAACAAGAAAGTTTAATTTCATGCCAAAGTATCGAAGAGTCTTGTTGCTCTAACTTGGCTCTGATGGTGATTGATACTTAGCTCACCTCCATTATGTCATTATATCTGTTTAAGTTCGGCACTTTTTTTTGTCCAGGGCTATCTTGGAGATGAGAAGGCCTTCATTGCCACTCAGGGTCCAATGATCAACACGGTGAATGACTTCTGGCAAATGGCTTGGCAAGAGGACTGCCCTGTCATTGTCATGATTACTAAATTGAAAGAGAAAAATGAAGTAATTTCAATTCAAAAGATCCACAAAGCTCTTAGTATGACTAAATAGACTGTGTTTTCCCAAAGATTTTGTTTTACTGTTTCAGAAATGTGTTCTGTACTGGCCTGAGAAGAGGGGGATCTATGGGAAAGTGGAGGTCTTCGTTAATAATGTTAAAGAATGTGACCACTATATAATCCGCTCCCTTATACTAAAGGTATTTGCATTATAAGTAAAAGTAATAATCCAAAAGAAATACTATTGTCAGATACTCTAATGGATCATGTGTTTTGATTCCCTCAGAATGGAGGCCAGAGTCGTAAAGTGCAGCACTACTGGTATACCTCATGGCCGGACCAAAAGACCCCAGAGAGCGCTGGACCCCTGCTGCAGTTAGTCAACGATGTTGAGCAGGACAGGAGGGGCTTTACATCCTGTGGGCCGATTATTGTACACTGCAGGTTCAGTAGCTTATCAGCTTCCCACAGCTACAAACCCTGTTAACGTTACATTGGCAAACTCATTGTCATGGTGAATTACTGCATGATACCTGCCCAGATAGCAAACTGACATTGAATCAACGTGGAAACATGACATCGAAACAACGTTGATCTGACATTGTTTTGCTCATCGAATTAACGTTGAACCAACGTCAGACGCGTCATTCTTTCAAAACTAACGGAAAATCAACTTGAAATCAACGCGTTGTTTCAACGTTATGAAAGCAAACCAATTTTCGATTTTCATTTAGCTTTGAAGAATGCCGCGTCTGACGTTGGTTCAACGTTAATTCGATGAGCAAAATCAACGTTGTTTCAATGTCACGAGAGACGTTGTTTCCACGTTGATTGAATGTCAGTTTGCTATCTGGGTGGATGTTCAGTCAGGCGAAACTGGGATGGTTCACATCACAACACAAACGCCCGTTTGCTCATCTGATTCAGAGATTTCGTTCAGGAGAAATTGCCATCGTTGAAATTCTCTGCAGTAGACGGACTCTATCTGTGTTCGTAGTTCACAGCGAGAGCACATGCACCAGCAGTCCGCCCAGGTTGAGTCAGTTTGGGCTCCTCGACCGCGACAGGCAGCCGCCTCCGGTTCCTCCATCAGCGTCAGCTTGCTCTTCACTATACTGCGACTCGTAAGGATAGCCACGAACATCGGATTCGAGCAGCAGAATTTCAGAATCCTCTTCTTCCATATCATGTTTAGTTTCTTCCGTCATTATCATACTTCCTATCTCCACAGCGCTTGTTAGCTTAGCTTCCAAACAAGATGGCTGATATTGATTCAGTATCTGCAAGTGAAGTCCCACCCACTGATCTGTAATTGGCCTGTAGGGTGAGTGGGTGCCACACCCTTGAATAATGAGGAGCTAATGTTTGTAGTCTCTACACTTTTTAATGAAATGTGACTTCCTGCTTATTATGACGCAAAATGACGATTTTTACGTCATAATAAGCTGGAAGTAAAACACTTAAATCCTTATTTCTCCCATCTCAGGGGAAAATAAGAGAATAAACCATGACCATTCAAAAATATGACTGGGTTTCTAAAGATACAAAGCTTAATGCAAATGGTTGAAGTGTCCCTTTAAAAAGTGTCTACTGGTTGATGCACTGTATATAAAATATAATTCATGTTTTATGGTGGAAAACTATGATAAAACAACTATAATCCAGTGCTTGGTAAAAAAAAGGGTTACACTTTATTTCGATAGTCACTTTAGACGTTCTACTAATTATAAGTAACTTTTCAACTACACGTCAACTAACTCTCATTAGAGTAGTAGTATAGTATAGTAGACTGTCAGTAGACTGTTAGGTTATGGTTAGGTGTTAGGGTTCAGGTTAGGAGAATAAGTTTACTTGTAGTCGCCAAGTTACTTATAGTCAGTTGAATGTCTGTTGGGGGACCAACAAAATAAAGTGTTAGCAGATATTAAGCTGACAATCTACTAATCCTCTAATGACAGTTAGTTGACATGTAGTTGAAAAGTTACTTATAGTTAGTAAAATGTCTACAGTGGACTATCGAAATAAAGTGTTCCCAAAAAAAGTGCTTGAAAACCATTTAACTCACCTTTGAATTTTTGCAGTGCTGGAATTGGTCGGACAGGATGTTTCATGGCTACAACAATTGGTTGTCGTCAGTTGGAGCTGGAGGGAGTTGTGGATGTGCTGGGAATTGTGTGCCAACTTAGGACAGACAGGTACAAATGTTTTACTGTTTTTCTATTAAAATTTGTGACTGTTTCGCTGTTCAGCTATTGAAATGTTAATGTATTTGGTCTTCGCGTCCTAGATCTCCAATGTTGCTGAATACTGCTGTTGATTATTGAGCAAGTATGGACTTGCTACTGCTAATTGATACACAGACACACTACTGTGAGCATGTTAGATATGCTGCTGCTGCATAAATAGACATACATAAATCCCGTAGCAGATCTAGGCAGGTGGAGCTGGAGGAGGTGAAAGGTTAGAGAGAAAGCATACAGGCTGGTATTTTGGTTACACATTGAACTTCATCTTGCTTTCTCCACGTAAACCGTCACTGGATGGAAAGACTAAGAACATTACTTACTGTAACACATCCAATATTACTATAAATGCAGTATAATAAACAAGAATTTCCAGTATTTTCACTGTGAATAGAGGGAAAACTATGTCTTAATCTTTTCAGATTATGCTGATTACATTACACAGGAATATTTTAATATCAACATTAACATATTACAAATGTTTGGGGAAAAACACAGGATCCAGTCACAAATGCAAATTCACAGTTTATTGGAAAAAGAGGAAAAATAAGCAAGACAGATGTAGTCATGCAGTGAATCAGATTGCAAAGTTTAGGGTAAATATTTTGATTGACGAAAATTTGACTGAATTTGGATTGACGAAAATCTATGTAAATCACAGATTCATGATTTTATCTCATTTTACAAAATGTCCCAACTGTTCTGGAAATGTGGTTGTACTATACCATTATTTTGAAATCAACATACAGTATGCACTTTTATTTTCAACAAAACATAACATAAGAGTGTTTGAAGTGAAACTGATTTGTTGGGTTTTAAAGCAGGTGAACTATTTGCAGTATGTTAATTAGGGTTGGGTATCGAGAATCGAGTATCGATTGGAACCGAGACTAACTTTTCGTTTTTCCCGGAATCGTTCAAAAGTTAAAATTTCGATTCCTAGTTTCGATATTCACAGTCCGCCGAGCGGAAGAAGAAACCGCTGAACAACACCAACGAAGAAGCGTCTACCGGAAGTGTTGGCATAACCATGCAAGTCGAACATGAGTACCTTACGTCGGCGATTCAAAGTGTGGCTTCACTTTTCTAAAAATAACGAAATCTCGGCAAAATGCAAAATGTGTGATAAAAGGAGTATTTTTACAGAAGGAGTATTTCCTTCAGAAAGGATTATTTCCTTCAGAAACGCCGTTGGTTAGCAAGGTTAGCTAAACTTTTTTGACCCTGCCTCTTAAAAGAATCAGAATCGAGAATCGTTAGGAACCGGAATCGAAGCAAGAAATCAGAATCGGAATCAGAATCGTTCAAATTCAAACGATACCCAACCCTAATGTTAATAGTGGAATGGTGACTTTTTAATGTCTCAGGGACCCCTCATGACTATGAAGAGCTACAGAGATAGCAGCAGGCCTTGGCAGCAAGGAGAGACTACACTGATGTCTGTCAATATCCTGAAACAGCAAAGCAGTCAGTAATTCCCACTCGAACAGGAAGCAAACACATAGGAAAAGAAGACTTGAGAGAATACTGACGGAACAGAATGGCAATGAGCACAAGAACGATCTGACAAGGAACACAGGAAATACATGACTAGATATGGATGACAATAACGAGCTGCAAGTGTGGTTAGTCTGATTAGCTCGTCAGCGCAGTTAGTAGCTAGGCAACGGTGACGAGCAATCAAACCAGTGACAGAAACACAACAAAGCCATGTCAGAATGTACACACAGACCCGTGAACCATGACAGTACTCCTTCCCCTAAGAGCGCCAGCTCCTGGCTTTCCCTGGGGAAATTCCCTGACGATTGTAATCATTGATGAGGTAGTGATCCAAATATCCCTTGCAGAAACCCAACTCCTCTCCTCCATACCATAACCCTCACAGCCCACCAAGTACTGGAACCATCACCCCTCTCCGCCTTGAATCCAGAATACGATTGACTGAATAAGCAGGTTTCCCATCTACATTTTGTAGCAGTGGGGGAACTGGAGCGGGCGGATTAAAGGTGGAATACCTAAGATTTTTGCATTCAAATATCCCAAAATCACAAGGCTAGTGTTATATATTTAGTTATGATGATAACTCACAATATTCCAAATGTTTCAAACAAAGTTTAAATCGCGAGAAAATTGAGATTTTAACCAAGGAAACGGGGCGCATGAGCAGGGGTGAGCTGGGAGACGCCAGTCAATCGCGTCATATCCGCTTACCTCGGTTTCCGCTCGTACTACGTGTAGTCCTGGACAAATGCAGTAGTTGTAGTTGTGCGTTAGCGTCTATCAAGCAACAAACGTCAGCTTGTTTCGCGCATTTGTTATGGAATGGAGCACAATTATTCTTCTTATTTATTCTCGGAATGTGAACTGTTGGCTGTAAAGGGGGTCGCACACCGGACGAGAAGCGCCGCGCCACGTTTAGGACAACTCCACAGTAACGTTATCGAACACCGGACGCACACTTTCTCATCAGTGTATGGCCAGCAATATTGTTATGTTTAATGACATGAAATGAAGATAATGCCTGTTCTATGTTATGATTGTACTGTACAATTAAATACAATCGTTGCTGAGTTTGCATTCTGAAAACTTTACCTCAGAGCATCCGTTCACTGAATGAATTGAGAATCTCACCTGAAAAATCTAATAATAACATCAGCAATTGTCATTCAAGCAGCGGATTTCTGTAAATGACTGCAAAACTAAATGCATATTGAAGCATAGGGTGAAGTCAGGATCCATTAGCAACGATTTGAGACAAAAATAATAAAATTTTTTATATAAAACTGTGTAAATGGCGCTCTGTGGCGCAGCAGGATTTTGAACACGGTCCTGAGGCGTTGTTGCTGGGCGCCGCGGACAGACGGCGAATAGCGCTGCCGGTATGTGTAAAACGTTACACTTATAGATAATAATGTTTTCAAATTTTAAAGATGTTGCGCAACGCGGCGCTGCAGCTTCTCGTCCGGTGTGCGACCGGTATGTGTAAAACGCTGCCGATATGTGTAAAACGTTACACTTATAGATAATAATGTTTTCGAATTTTAAAGATGTGGCGCAACGCGGCGCTGCAGCTTCTCGTCCGGTGTGCGACCCCCTTAACGTTAATTTTGTGAAACTGTAGCTGTGGTTGAATACTTACACGACATGAAAAGATGTGTCAAATGTACATTAAATTGATTTTTTATTTTTATAAAGTTACCAAGGAGGACCAGCCACGTCAACTCCTTGCAAGAGACCTGCCCCTTCAAACCCTCTCCACCATAGCTTCGTCCAGTGACTCGTACAGTAACTAATTTACTTTTAAACCTGACTTTTCTTGCGCGGTTATTTCAGTTTAAGGAAAAACAAGCATGTCATTAAACGCAACGTTTATAGAAATCGAACTTTACCTCATCCATGACAACTAATTTTCGATTCCCGTCTGACTGATTTATCCACGGTGGAGTTGAAAACAACAGTTCCCATCATTCCGCGTTCCTCCACGTCGTCATCAAGCAAAGCCGTTGTTGTTGTTTTGAATGTAGCGCCCTCTAGCGGCATCTAAATCTTAGGTATTGCAGCTTTAATGGTAGAATGAAAAGCGCAAATAAAAACGGGTTTTAATTTAGAAACATGAAAGAGAGGACGACTTCTGTATGCCGGAGGATGATTAAGCTGGACTGCCACTGGACTAAGAATCTTTTTGTTGACAGTAAATGGGCTACTGAATTTAAGAGCAAGTTTATTACAGATGGTGAGCAATGTGGGAACAGGGTCTTGAAGGAAATGACAGTGAGTCCAGCAGGAGTTTGATTGGAAGTCTTATACAACTGGGACAAACCGTGCAAGCCAAATCAAAGCGACGTATGTTGCAAGTCATAGCTTGCCACCAGAACCCTTCCTTTATGAGAAACATGGTACGACTCACCTCCGGATGACAAGCCACCTCAGAACAATACAATGACCCCATCAAATGACGTCGGACCATAAACTCTCAGGCACGAACAAACTATCTAGTGGAAACCCGGGCGGACGCGTTACCCCAAGTAAGGCAGCGCAGACCTTCAACTCAATCTCCCAAGTTACCATTGAAACCACAAATTTAGGATGGGCTCAGGAAAATGCAGGCTTTCAGATTTGTCAAAAACACCGGAAAACATGTCGGGTTTGGGTTTGGCGGTAGGAAATGTAAAAATCTAACTGGCTGGAAAAAAGATCTGACCCACCTGGAGAAGAGTCTCCCTGACCATTCTCCAGTTGTCTCTGCACCTCTGGACGAATTTGTGAGCGGAGGGAACCGCGACCTCGGATTCCAGACTAGGAAAAATTGGTGGCTGGTGACCTAAGCTACACTTAAACGAAGACAGGCCCGTGGACGACACTGGTAATGAGTTACGAGCGTACTCAACCCATGAGATATGCTGACTCCAAGAGGATGGATTCTGTGACGCTAACCATTACGCTGAAAGGCAATCAGATCAGCACAGTAGACACACAGAATGAACAGGCAAAACCCGCGAACCATGACAGTCTGTCCCTCTCCTAATATGATCTTTATCTGTTCCATTTCAGTCATGGCTGTAAAGTTATTTATTAAGTTAATTAATTTGTTTAACGAAGCCAATCTGACTTGGGCTCAGGACATCTTTGTTTCTGTAAGATGCCATAAAAACAACCTTTTCTTTCAGTAGCAAAAACAATAATGGCATTTATCAGTATAACAATGTACCTGCCAAAACAAGATTTTCATCAAATTGAGACTCGCCTGTAATCGCGTGGTGTTTCTTTTTCTCCGCAGGGGTGGTATGATCCAGACCGAGGAACAATATGAATTTGTGCACCATGCCTTGAGTCTCTATGAAAGCCGCCTTCCTGCAGAGCCTGGACAATGAATTTGAACTCCTAGAGGAGCTTCAGTTTTCTCACCGAGAGATCTGCTATTGCTATGAAGTTTCTAAATCAAGAGAGAAGGCGCCAGATCGTGTTCGTGAAGAAGGATTTTTGTGCTTGTCAAGGCAAGGGTTGCACACATCTGATGTTGTCTGGAAGCCGGTGTTGTCGGCAAATGTATTAGTTGTCATAACTTTTCAATAGCCTCTGTCATGCTTTTCAAGGCTGTCAAATGGTTTTGCCACTATAGTGTTAAAGTGTATCAGTGTCATTGTACAAGATATAGTTCCACTAAATAATGCACAATATACACCGCATAAAGACTATCAGTTTTCCTTCATTTTTTTCCCTGATTATAGGTTTTAAAACCGTGGGCATTTTAAAAATTACTTATTATACTAATTATTGTCTTTATGCTGCAGAATAAATGAGGTATTAATATTCTGTGTATAATAGTATGATCATGTTTTATCAAAATACTTTTTTTTTTTTTCATTTTTGTACCAATTTATTAACAGTTTAAGAGCATATTCTTATGCTGATGCAGAACACAATTTTGAAATATTCTGTTTCCTGTTCCTGCTGCATAATTTACATCTGCAAGTTTAAAGTCTGAATTGATTTTTATGAGAGAGAAAGACTATGACTCAACATTTATATTGCATTGTCATCACTGTAATGCACAACAACAAACCAACAGCAAAACAGCAAATGGCTCTTATGAGTGGGTTCTTTTAAATAACAAACAAATATGGAATTCAGGATTTTTCGGTTTACAGACAATCTATCAATCAGTCTAGAGTCTCACTAAATCTGTCACCGATCCTTGCGGAACCAAAATTATTAAGTGGATTCAAATGTAATCTTATTATTAGGGAAAATAATCATAATAAAATTAATAAATATATAAAGAAATAACAACAACAAAAGAAAATACATTTGAGGAAATTATATAATATAGCTAAATTTTAGGAGATTGTATTTGTATCTAGTGGTAATATTATTCTAGTGACTTATTAAATATTAGTGTTCGAATATTTTCCCCCAAATGCATACATTTGTTGTGTAATGTATTCCGGGACCACATGCGTTTTGCTGCTAAATACTGCAATTGTTAATGGCTTTAGGAATTAATTATGTTGTATGAGAGTGAATATTTTTTAAAACATTTATTTTCTATTGTATTTATTATTATACAAATTATTGTTATTATAACCTGATACTTTTATAAACTATGGTTATTGTCATTGTGCACTGTTACGCAATATATTTTCCACTATGTGGGCTTAATGTTAGGCAGTCAGTGACTTTTTCCTATTTATCCTTTATGAAGATGAATGTGAATACTCTCAATAATAAACAATCCATCATAACCACAATTACAGTATTATAATCTGCACATATGGATGCCTCAGACAGTAAGGGTTGCAGTATATGCAACCCAAACTGATGATCTGAGCTGTTTTATATGAATCTTTGGTGGTGGTAGAATTAATTAGTCTCGTATAATGGGATGTATATTATAAATGCATAACTTGGTCCCGATAATCCTTTAGAAGTTATTCGTCAGTGCTATACTACTATACTTTCCACTTATAGTGTGTTTGGTCCTATAACAATATTAAACCCTCACCTAAAGCCATAATATCTCATGTTTACATTTTTGGCACTGCAAGTTTTGATTTATATATGTTAAAATATGCTTATTCTGTTAAGTGTTTTTGTAAATAAATAAGTGAAACTGCCGAGTCAGAAAGCATAGAGAAACTATGATAATGATATGACTACTGCCAATAAATTAACCCTGTTATCATGTCTGGATCAGGGTTTGTTCCTTATTTTTTAGACTCTTCTTTCAATGTTCATTTCATTCCATTGTGTACAGCTTCTTTTTCTTAGCTGCCTAGGTTTTTAATTCTTTAGTGAGAAATAGTTGATACTTTGAGTGTGTAGCAGAAGAGAAGGCAATTATACGGCTTGAAACTTGCGCAGCTATTTTGAACCAATAATGGGAACAAAAAGCAGTTGAATGATGACGTGCATTCATTTGTTTTATCTCCTATATAATGAATCTGACTCCATTAAAGTTGTAGTTATTCTTAAACCTCTTATTATTTAAAGGTAAAAGTCTTTCTTAGAACTGATAGGAAAGTGTAGGATTTAACCTGAACGTTTAGATAAAGTAAGTCACTTTAGTTTTCAACATTATCAGTGTTAAAATGAAACATTCTCAAAGCCTTTAAAGCAGGAAAAGTGGTGTGCAAGAGTGGCAATGTAAAAGCCTTTCTCCAAGATCAACAGTACCTTCTTTCTTTTTTTGTGTGTGATCAAAATTTTTATTTTATTTACCATACCAGGAATACATTAACTATATACAGACAAATGCCATGAAAACGTCTGGGGTTACGGCTGTAACCCTTGTTCCCCGAGAAGGGAAAATCGACATTTGGGAATGCCTCCAGCGTGACGTGTCTGAAGCCTGTATGGAACTAGTCCAATATTGATTGTTGTTGCGTCATGACATCACCCGTGACATCGCATGTTACAGTGAGCGGAAGGTATAAAAGGGGACCAGAACATAACAATGTCTGCTTTTGGTCCTGGCAAGTCGCTCTTTGGAGCGCTAGAAGTGTAGCCAAGGGACCCAGCGTCTCGTTTCCTTCTTACAGTCGTAACCCGAGACGTTTACCTTTCTCGGGAACTCGCGCTGCGTTGAAAATCGACACATTTGAAAACGAAATTCCCACTGCTCCACACTGAGAGAGTACGCCCTGGTTCGAAGAAATCTGGCACACCTAGGACGAGAGAACTTGAGACCCCGGAGTAGAGGGCAGATCCAGACTGTAGTGTCTAACAGTGATGCGCGGGTCAATGTATAAACAAACCGCAACCGACCGACGTTTTCAACTACCCGCCCGTAACTCGGACCGCAAAAAAAGTAAAAAAAATATTGTACCCGACCCGCTTCCTGACCGCATTTTTTACAAGTAGTAAATGCTCATCGGAGCGTTATTGGGCCATAGACGTGTAACAACACAGCATCGCAAGAAGACGTAGGCCTGGCCTACACATAACAAAGGCAAAGCCAGCACTTTGGTCATCATATTTCATTATTTCAGCAAATGTCTCCCACACTTTTACTCTTTCTATTTGTGTATTTGCGTAGCTTCCACTCCCTAGTCTTCACCTTTTCTCTTGCCGCCTCCATCTCTGCAGACTGTAGTGATCATAGACATGGGCGGTTCGTGAACGAATCGTTCTTTTGAACCGGTTCTTTTTAGTGAACCGGTCGAACCTACACTAAATCGAACTGAATCGTTCGAAACAGTTCGCGTCTTGCGTCAGTGCTGATCCACAAGTTAGTTACTTACTTTCAGACATGCCTGACAGTCGCCTCCGAATCGAAATAAATCAATATCCTGAATTCTATTTTACTCCAGTAACTCCAACAGTTCACTGAACCGAGACATGTTGGTGCCACTGTTGAGAGAAGTGATGAGCACGAGCAGCTGATACTGCGCATAGATACTGCGTACTACCGAACGCACAGGGACAGCGGTTCTTGAATCACTAGTATAGAACCGAGAACTGTTTAGACTGAGCTTGTGTGTTATCTTCGTGCCAGTTATTCAGCCAATAATGTGTAGGGCTGTATATTTAATCAAAAATTGTGTCTAGTACTAATACAAATGTTTAATTGGCATCTTTTTTCAAACGACCCGACCGACCACTACCCGAATATCATTAAAAACATTTTTAGATGACCCGTAACTGCGGGTAACCGCGGGTGACCGCAGGCACCCGCTCATTTCGGATCAACCCGCGCATCACTGGTGTCTAATGAAGGTGTGAGGGGTAGCCTAGCCCATGGCATCGCAGACCTCCAGCAGAGAAACTCCTGACAGCAAAGCTTTAGAGGAAGCCACTCCACTAGTGGTCTCTTATTAGCAGAGGCAAAGGAAAGCTGTGCGCCTCTTGAGCTGAAGATATAGCCTCTACTATCCATCTGCTGATAGACTGCTTGAAAACAGGGGAGCCCTTCTTAGGTGACCCGAAACATACGAGTAACTGGTGCGCCTTCCTCCAGGCCGAGGTTCTATGAAAATAGACCTCCAGTGCTCGGACCGGGCACAGTAAATACTGTTTAGCTTGCTCAGTAGCGGTTCTAGGCACGGGCGAACCGGGCAGTCGCCCGGGGTGGCATTTCTTCATGTCACGTGGGGGGCGGCACGAGCAGTTAAAAAAAAATAGAAGTTTTTCTATTTTTTATCATTTCGATTCAATTATTGGCAATGGCGCCCTGCTTGCTGAGAAGGTGCCGTGCGCAGAAGCGATGTCAAGGGGATCTCCTGATTAGTTCACGTATCGCGTCTTTTGCGCGCTCGAGGTCGTTATTTCAAATCCTCTATGTTTCAAATAGGGGAAGCGCGCTCATTATGCGCTCACGGGAAGCGCGCTCATAAACTTTTCAGTATGGGAGTGCACGTGCACCCAAACACTTGGGGGTGTTTTTTTCTCTTCTCCGTAAATAAATCTTTTAGCAGAGCTACAGCAAGCGTTTTTCTGTGGTGGAAATACATTAGCTACTAAAACTGCTTTGTCGTTGTGTAGACCGCAGTGTAATGAGTGCATGGTTCTATAGCAACGACAGCCATGGGAAAATCGGTACGAATTTTACTTTTAATAATAAAAGATAAGCTACTGTGCATTATAAATGTCAGGAATGTATGGTAAAATGAAAGACACTCCTTTAAAACAAATCTTTAATGTTATTAACTTGGTGAATTGATTTCACTGTGTATTAGGCTTTTTGAACAAGATTCTGTGTATGTGATCATTTTGGTCACCATATTATCTAATACTTTTCATAATGATCAACTAAAATCAACTTTAATTACGAATTTTTACAGTAGCCTATAATATGCAAATTTTTATTCGAAATTTTTATTTTCGCTCGAAGGGGGTCTCGCCCTGGGTGTAATTCTGTCACGGTTGGTAAATCCTATGTCTTCTTCAGGTCTCGTGTTTCTGTTGTTGTATGTGTGTGTGTGATTATTAGAGGGGCGTGGCCGCCCATCAGAGCTCACTCATTCATCACTCACCACCAGCTGCAGTCTATCACCCCGGTCTATTTAATCTCACCCATTTCTCATCTCCATTGTCAGATCGTTGTTTGTGATGTCCGGTGTCAGATCCCCCTGCGTTCCAGTATCCTTCATTGTTCCCGTCTGTTTTCCCGTGGATGTTCTGGATTGTCTGTCGATCGTCACCCCGCTTCACCTGCACTTATCCATCTGACCATCGAGTCCCTGCGTCACTACCCTGCTGGTCTGTGACCGTGGAAGGAGTTACTGTTCGTCCCTGGACTGAGTACTGAGTTTCATTCTGCTTGTCTGTGGACAGTGTACTGAGTGTCTAATAAACATTGTTACTTGCTATTGCTTCCGAAGTCTTTACGTAACAGAACGATCTGACCAACTATGGAAGCAGCGAGTGGCAATTCCGAGACGCTGGAGGAATTCGTCAATAACAGCAGACGGAGGATGGAGAATCAGGAGAGGAACATCAACGATACTGCTCGTGCGGTGCAGGCGTTAGTGACGCAGGTGTCCGGGCTCACCCAGCAAGTACAACAGCTACGTACTCCCGCTGCGCCAGTTCCACCGCCGATTCCCCAAATTCCACCAGTGGACCCCTCCCAGTCGGAACCACGATTACCAGCTCCAGAGACATACTCAGGTGAACCGAACTTTTGTCGTGCGTTTCTTACCAGATGCTCCATGCACTTCTCTCTCCAGCCCAGAACTTTTCAAGAGGAAAAAACCAAAGTGGCGTTTGTGCTGACACTGCTGACTGGGAGAGCGGCGCTATGGGGAACGGCGGTGTGGGAGAACAAAGAGAACTGCTGTAACTCGTTCCAAGAGCTCTCCGACGAAATGAAACGGGTCTTCAAACCGTGCCTTGGGAGGCAGAGAAGCGGCCAGATTGCTGGCCGAGTTGCGCCAAGGACATCGTTCGGTGTCAGATTACTCGATCGAGTTTCGGACCCTGGCGGCGGAGAGCAAATGGAACGAGGAGGCGCAGTGGGATATGTTCCTGCATGGGTTGGCTGACCGCGTCCAGAAAGAGATCTACGCGATGGACTTACCACCCAAGCTCAACGATTTGATCGCATTGGCACTGAGAGTGGACGCCAGATTGTCGCGAGTGGAGCGGAGAGGATCCAACTGCCGCCCCTCGGCGGAATCCGAGGGCTCTCGTGCCGGAGGTGGGGACGCGGTCAGTCACATCCACGATCCCGAGCCCATGCAGGTAGGTCGAGCCCGGCTTTCCCGGGAGGAGAGGGAGAGGCGGAGATCCCAGGGCCTCTGCCTGTACTGCGGAGGAGCGGGACACTTTGCCTACAACTGCCCGTTAAAAGGCCCAGCCCGGTAGTAAGTATGAGGCTACTATCGGGTGGGATCTCCGCCGAGAAGACCTCATCGACATCAACTCTCCTTCCGGTTAGACTCCGATGGTCCAACCACCTTTACGATTGTCATGCACTTTTGGACTCGGGAGCCGAAGGTAACTTCATGGACCACAATTTCGCACGCAATCACCAAGTTCCCCTCAAACCACTCACCCATCAGATCGCCGTTCACGCCCTCAATGGTCTAAAACTCCCCACCATATCCCTGGTTACTGAAGACATTATTCTCACCACTTCAGGCAATCACTCAGAGACCATTTCATTTTACATCCTGGACACTCCGCTAGCCCCCATCGTCCTTGGTCACCCATGGCTCACCCGTCACAATCCCAAGATAGACTGGCAACTCAAAGCTGTATCAGAATG